AACAAGAACTCAGCATCCACTCTCTTCTCCGGGATACTCTTCTTCTGTGTTTGTTTACACTGGTTTTCGAAACAGCGCCACCACTCTTGCCTTTTTGTGCAACAGCAGCTGCACTGGTCACGTGATCCTAGCTCAAATCTTATTGGGCGGCCCGTGTTTTCGCTTTGCGAAATTGAAAAGATTTGTCGGACTGGTTTGAAAAAAAAACATTTGCATTTTCGGTGCGCGAATGTTTGCGTTCTATGTGGAAGCATCCATAGAAATCTATTGTTTTATTCCAGCGCGTCATCGCGTCCTATATTCGTTTCGCTTTTTTGCGCTCAGTGTGGAAAGGCTGTGAATGTTGACAACAATAATCAGAGGCCGCTGGCAATCTTTGCAGGTTAAGTTGACAAGGATCTCCTCTCAATTCATGATGCTGTCATTGCTTAGGCACTTGTACCGGTATGCCAGTTTTTTAAAAATTCATACGTAGGGCTGAACGATTAATTGCATTTGCGATAATATCGCGATATGAAAAAACAAGATTTTTCAATTGCAGAGGCTGCGATTACACTCGGTCACGTGACACGCGAGAGTAAAGAGGTGTGTTCGACTTGAAGATCGATCAGTGCATGACATCAAAGTACGGCGAGAGAAAGCATAAGGAGACATCCGCGCACTTGCAGTACTTTGATGACACACACCCATCGGTCTAAGCAGCGCTGCTTCAAGTCGAACACATCTAAGCAGTCTTCAGAGGAAGCATCAAGTTGGCACGCTACAGTGGTGCCAAGTCCGCGGTTTGGGGAACCCCTCCAAAAAACGTGTATTTTACCCCCTGGAACGCGATTTCGGTGGACCCCCCTCGAAACGCGATTGGGCTAGTTTTGAGTAGCAATTGGGCGGGTTTTGTTGTGAAAACCTGGCAACCCTGGCACGCTACACGCGGAAATGTTTGAAAGCGTATATAATGAATGTACTTCAAAACGGCACATTGAAATTACTCAAGCAGTAACAGTGTTACAGTGCAATTCATTACTGAAGACTTCGACCTTAAAATAATATATATAATAAGGTAATATATATATTCTTATTTATTTATTTAAAGTCTGTCTAAAGTTAACAGACATTGTTTAAAAAGTGCAGTCCACATGTGTTTATTACAGTGAGATCCATTTTAGTTTGTGCGATTTGTTACTGACTTTCATATTAATGTTTACACCAGGCTTATTTGTCAGTGCTTTATGTTGTCATAATTATTACATGCTTACAAGGTTGGAAGTTCAACAAATCAGTCAATATACTACTGTGATTGTAGTTGTTCAAAAATGTCATTCATATCAATTCATGCATCACCTAATTTCATCGTAACATATAGGCCTGGCCTACAGAAAAGAACATTTATATTTAATCTCATAAAGAGCTTTAAAAATAATTGCATATTAAATCGCAATCTTGGTAAAAAAAATAAATAAATCGCAATTAGATTATTTTCCAAAATCGTTCAGCCCTATTCATACATGTGTGGAATTCAAACCGGTTTACCGTTTGAACCGGTATATCGCCCAGCACTACACCTGACTGACATTTCTTGAATTACACATGAAATCAAAATTAACTATATTTATTTTGTTAGCGCACACTGCTATTTTTGTGGTGAACAATTCATCCGTGCAAGTCAATCCACAAAAAAAAAAATTGTTTGCCTTCGTAATCCAAATCTGATAATGCACCTCCCCTCTGAAATGACGGACCTTCTCTGATGACGTCAGTTTGACGGATTGGGCTTGAGCATAACATCCTTAAACACGCCCCTCCAACTGTCAGTGTTCTGTTGCCCTCTGTTTTTCTCATTCAATATTCCGTTTCTCTCTGAAGTACGTCACAATACGAAAGTAAAGTCGGTCACAACTTCCGGTTCACGCGGACTTTAACCCTTCTCTAAACCACACTTCAAAAAAATCCATCGTAGACATCAACAAAAACATAACCCAAACTCTAAGCTCAGTCATGCCAAGATACACACACAGCGTTTTTCCACAACTCACAGAAAAGCAGCCTGAACATGTTCAGCTCTCATCTTTTACTGGTGTTCACCATTACAAATGTGATCATATTAGCGCCTTTAAATGTTTACATGATGAGGATGTAAATGAAACTGAAAATGCAAAGCAGCTCAGCACACTAAAAGCTTCTGACGTGACCCCTATGTTTACCAGGCTAACCATAGATTCTAACAAACCATTACAGTTCTTGTTTAAAATCATAATTTATTAGTGAATCTTCTCGAGGACATGTCTACAGGTGGGCAAATTAAATCAGTCAAGTTTTAGCACTCTTTAAAGGGATAGTTCACCCAAAAATGAAAATTTGATGTTTATCTGCTTACAGTTCTCGTCCGGACTGTGGAGTCCCTCTACGCACCCCTCCTGGACTCACGAGGACACCAGCGTGCATGCACGGGAAAGAGACCGGTCTCCCGAGGAGAGGCGCGCTCGGCATTTAAACAGCGGCGGTGATGAGG